TTTGCCATGTCTTTTCTGGCATAAAGAGTGAGATTTATCACTAGAATGTGATAAACACCTTGCTCGTACCTTCCTCTCAGGCAAAGGTATCATTTTGCTATCACTCTGTGTACATGGGGAGTCTATCTCTCCTTCAACAGGCACAAGCAACAGGAGAGCCAAGGGAGAGGCTGGGATTAGAACAAGGTCTCCCAACAGACAGACTGTTGCCTTTCTGACAGACACAACTTCCTGCAAGTCTGATTTCAGCACCGACTTGAAGAACAATAATTGTCATTATTTGACCCTTTCTTTGTTATGGCTAGGGTTTTAAATAATGCATGGCCATTGTATGACTTTTTCCTAACGTTTCCTCTATGCCATTGAATTCTATTTTCTGTTATAAAGTCAGGGCTAGATGAAGTGTTTACTTCCAGAAATCCAGTCCTGTAGGAAACAATTATGGTTTTCCTCTTCTTGGCCATTTATCTTGCTGATAATTTGTCATATTGCAGAATCTATTTTTAGGTAGTTTTGAGCTGAAATGTGTCTTTGTTGTCTTCTTGCTTTCTTTGCTTGTAATAGTTTACTCAGACATTCCCGGTTAGTCAAGCTCCTTACAGTCAAAGTCTATTTCAGGAAACTTGCCTTCTGTTCTCCTTGTTTCACACTCGAGAATGTACAGAAAGTCTCACATTTGTCGCTGAGGGTGGAAATTGCAGTCTTCAATGGAGTCTGATGACTTTATTTTTTATTTATTTTTTATTTATTTTTTATTCTTTTTGGCCCAACTGCTTGAAACTCCTGGGTTTGTGCTAGAGAAGAAATCAGAGTTTGACTTTTTAGTGACTTTTTAAATGTGAATGAAAAGATTTAGAAAAAAGAAAATCACAAAGTACACATTTGTTTTGTCCTGTTTGTAATATAATTATATAACTGCTTTGTTGATGCATTAAATTGCTTAAATTTTTAATCCTTCTGGTGTACTCAAAAAAAAAAAAAAAAAAAAAAAAAAAAAAAAAAAGCCTCTCAGAGGATGTACAGAGAAGAAATTGAATCCCTGGCAGGGATGGGGGCTGTTCTTGCCATGTGCAGTGACACTATCTAAGGTTGTACTGGGATTTCGTTGTGGTACAGGAGTGCCTTGTATCAAGAGGGCAAGCTATCTTGGGCATAGGCAAGACAGAGGCCCCTTTCCTGAAAAAAAAAAAAAAAAAAAAAAAATTGAGGTTTTCTGCAAAAAGATTATTTGATACCAGTAGCAGGTTGACGTGGTAAAATGAATTTATTGTGGGGTGTAATTAGGATGGTGTGTTTAGGTTATCTTGGCCTAATGCGGCATTATATCACATAGGCATCTTTTTGAGATCACAGAAATGCTGTTGAGATTTTGGGTTGTGTGAGTTAGGCTGAATCTCCCATGTGTCCTGAGTCACTGAGGGAAGATTTAAGCAGGATCTCCGTTAACTTGAGGATCTGAGATTCCTTGAATGCTGGACTATCAAACCACAAAACAAAACTTCACAGATTGGGGGGAAAAAAATCAGATTTAAAAAGAAATATAAATAAGAGGGAAAAGAATCTAATGTAGAAGTTCTAAGAAATACTTATTTTGATGAAGACCTCAGCCTAACCTGCAGAAAAATTGATTTATTCTGTCAAGATGCAAATAAGAAGCAAGTTTTGTCATTCTGGTAGCAAGAAGATAGGCTGTTAGCACCTTTCTCCTTCAGAAGTAAGGGACTTTGCATTTGGCGTGCATTAATATGGGGGTCGTGTAGTGAAAATGTGGAAAAAATACATAATCTGAAGGTAGTTATTTGAACAACTGTCAGTGTGTGTGGCAGGAATTCCCAGTTTAAAATCAAAAGAGTGGATTTGAGAATAAACATACGCATGAGAGACTCTAGTATGGTTGGAATATAACATGGCAGAGCAAAGGCCTGAGATAGTGTTTGCATTAATCTATAGGTGATGAAATACTACGAAGAAACCTGAGAGAGATTCAAAATGTCTTTGGCAGCTTTGCAGTTAGGAGCTAATGTTACAGCTGAGTGACTCAAAGGCACGGTTGAGTTTAACTCTGACAAGTTAGTTTGTCAAGAGAAAAGGGGGCATGTTAACCTTCCTGTGGATGCTGGATACTCCAGGCCTTTTGGTAATCACTTGCCATGCGTAAAGATGGGCATGTGCAATTACTTGTGGTACACTTGTTTGCAGCTCACAAAGTGTGGCAGAAGGGAGCAACTACTGTCATTGCCATAAGAACCAACCTACTGCAAGGGATGACCTGGAAGCTGAGCTCATAGGGACTTTCGCATGAAGCTTCTGCCCTCAGTGAAGTCTGTCCAGCCCATTATCTTATTATGAGTGAATTTTGGGCAAGCACTTGAACAGCAAGCTCTGTGGACATTATAAAAAAGGCAATAAATCAACCTAGAATCATACGAAATAACATAAATGTTCCTAGGTTAGTTTGTTAATCTGCAGAAACATCTCCTCAACCTGCAGATCAGTTTCATAACCAGTTTCATCTGGAAAACACTAGACGGAGGAAACATCATTGCTGGTGTATGTCCCAGTGAGACAGGCTGTCTCTCATAGAGAACCAGGAAAGCAATGTCAAAGAGTGGGCCCAGGAAAAAGAAACTCGGCAAATTGCATTTAAAGTCCCCTGCTACTGGGATGGGTCCCTTTTTAAAATTCAGACCTGCTAAAGGACAGTATACATTTATAAGACAGTTAAGCCATAGTACTTTTTCTCCAGAGAATTTTTCCTTTGTTGCCTTCAGGGATTCAGTTTCCTAGAAAAAAAAGTGTGGAAAAGTAAGCAGGACTTGAGAAACCGATTCACTCTTAAAATGCGCTGGTTTATGAAGGGAAAGTCTAATTGCAAAATATTGATTTGAAACGTTGACAGGAATCACAGTAACACTGAAAGAATTTTCAGATTCTTCTGGCTCTTGAGCTTATTGAAAACATGAAAACTTGTGGGACTATCAGTTGTTGCTTTGTCTTTCTCCTAGAATCCCTCATCCTCCTGATCACTTTCTGCAGCCAGTGTTGTGCACTGGGTGGAGTCATTTAAAGCATATATGAAATTATGAGAAAGATTATCTCTTGGTGATCTGTCAATATGGTTTACTTTGCTGAAATGGATAAGTTATGATGCTATTTGCGTAATGAAAAGGAAATTCTAATGCCTTTATTCCTAGGGGTCCTCAGCAATTTATCTGTAAATCCAAGAAAAGTCGGAGAAGATCATTTTTCTACATCTTTCTAAGCTGCATAAGAGAGACTTGTATTTCAAAGCTATATTTGTAGACTTTTAAAAATATTTAGGAGGAATGAATTCATAGCTGCTAAAGCCAAAAGAGACTTTTTATAACTTGATCTTGTGTATAAATAGACCAAAAAACTTCCAAGCAGTACTTTCACCATTTACATTTTATGAATCCTATGCATAACTGAGCTCCATGGATTGAAAAGGAGTATTTTCTCAAAGCTACATGGTGTCGAAAATTGTATCTAGGACAAGAAATGAGCTATGTTTTTTTGTTTCAATATTTATTTTAAGCTTGTGATTCATAGCTACATAGCTAATATGACTATATCCTTTGTGACTTAAGATAAAGCATTCAGTCAACAGAGGGGAGAACATGGACTGCTGTGAACTCCTTGTACACTGATAGACAGATGGACTGTAAATCATTTTGATTTTATAACCAAAAAAGAAAAAGACACATAATTTACTATAATCGTAACATGGTATAATGATTAGTTCATGGTACATATTGTAGCATTCCAGTGGAGAGCTCTAATGATACCTCAAGGCTATAAAATTGCATGATACAGTGTTCATTCTTGATGATCACCAAAGGATTTTTCTCCTTGTTTATTATAATATTAAAGGTCTCTCAAACAAAATGAGAAAAATATCCATTTAGATTGTTGTTCCAGCTTTGATGTATTATTCACAATAAAAGCAGTTTATAGCCTTTATGTAGTCTCATTTTTGCAGATGTCCAAGGAAACCTAAGTACTTTTTCAGATAAGTTGAACACCAGAAGACCCTTGCAGTGTGTGTGCTGACACACTGACAGTTTAGTGAGAATAGGAGAGAAAAAGGACAGTAACAAATCAGTGTAGAAGAATAATAATTCTTATATATTATAATGTATGCAATGAGTTCCTCTGGCCATGGAAAGAATTGGAGATGATAACGACTACAGCTCAAAATATGAGCATTGGAGGCTGTTTCCGCTCTAGCAGATATGACTTGCTGTTGATTTCAAAAGAAAGAACAGCAGCAATGAATCCCTCAAATCCAAGCTAATTACTGTTTTTAAGACTTAAAGGAGCTGAACTGGTGTGCATACACACTGGTGCTTGCACCAAGCAAGGCCTGCATGGACTGACATTGGTAAGTGACAGTCCAATCACTGTCTTCATTCTTTAAGAAGTAATTATCAGTAAATACCACTTATTAATAAATTCCATTTATTTCCAGCTGAAAATGATGTGTGAAAAATGGGCCCTTCAGGTAACTCATAGGTCTTCATGACTTCTACTAGCCAGTTTTTCCTACAGCAATAGGAGATATGGACTAGACTAACTTTTAAAGCTTGGCACCATGGTGGAGTGAAATTCAAAACTTGAAATAGATGCACAGGCACCACTTTCTTAATTAATAAAAAAAAAAATATTCACTATAAGCATCTAGAATGAAAAGATTAATTTTTTTTTTTTTAAAGTTTATCAGGGGACAGAGAACCTTGGAGTGCTGCTATAGTAATTACAGTGTTATCTGCATAAAACTCACTTGCTATAGTAATAATCAATCCTTATACTGTATTCCTGGTTGACCCTCGGTGCTTCTGAAGTTCTGGGTTACAGCAGGTCGGATGAAGTCCTGATCCAGCATTCAAGCAAGATCAAAGCTCTTTCAAGCAAGACCACTTTCCTTCCCAAAGCACCAACCCCCGGCATACAAACTGAAATGTAGTTGTGATGTACTCTAGGGAGGTCGCCAGTATCCACGTGTGGAAAGCAAGACTCTCCTTGGTGTAGCCTGCCCGTCCAAATATGCGCCTCTTAGATCTCACCTCCAATGGAAACAAGGTTGGGCCAGAAGAAGAACCAGGTACAAACAAATATTGGTGTGGAGTTGATTAATTCATTTGCTGGGAGTGAAAATAAAAACATGCTAAAGTGGGAGGAGAGTTTTGAATACAATATTGTATGATGTTCTCGGCAAAGTGGAAATTTCAGGTATTGGGTCTGGCAGCTTTCCAGCAGAAGCTTTACATTGGTGTGAGCTGAATATGTTAGGAATGAATTAATGTGACTAGCTATGGTTCATAAAGCATCATAAAGATAGAGGCCTGCAATAACAAGATACTGTCCTGGTTACTCAAAGTCCTGTCTTGCAGTCATTGATCACGAGGACCTTGCAAACTAAACAGGAGGTGCAGGAGAAATGAAAAGTGAGATCTATGGCATGTGTTCACCACTTGAGTAGCAAGTCCAGCTGAGTTCACCGTAGTCATTGAAGTGCCAGACAGGTTGATGGAGCTGCCCTTTCAGCAGGTTGCAGAAAGCACAACCATTCATTACAGTTCAGGCAGGACAAAACCTGCAGGCAAGATTTGTCTCTCCTCTACTTTGTGTTCTGTGGTATCATTACTGTGCTGTGCTGCTGTGTGTGGGATGGTAGGATGTGCACAGGATGGGTGACTGGGAGATGCAGTGCAGAAAAAAAAAAAAAAAAAGAAAAGAAAAGAAAATCAGGGTTTTTCTTTAAATTTAAATTACCAATCTTGGTTGATCCTGTACTCAGGACTTCTCCATACCTAATGCGAGGGCATTATCTATGGTTTGCGTTATGCCAAAAGGAAGAATAATCAAGCAGTTTAAAGAGGGACATTATCCTCACTTATATGTCAAATTTGCTTTTATTTTTATGTGTAGAACAGTATTTTTTTTTTTCACTCGATTTAACATTTGTTCTCCATAGGCAGTTCTTTCCTAATACAAACGGATGGGATGGAACAGAAGCCTCTTTCTGCACAGGTTTGAAGGAGGCACGGCCGCTTTCTCTGGGCTGAGTCAGAGGCTTCACCTGCACGGGGATGAGGGGGTAGCAGCCGCGGCCCCCGTCACCCTGCAGAAGGCCCTGGGGCCGGTTGGCCCCGAGTGCCACCCAGGGCGGCGCGGGCCCCTCTCTGCCTCAGCTGCCAAGTGACTCAGCTCTGGCGGCCGCGCAGGCCGAGCAGGGCCACCCATGGCGCGGAGCAGCACGCGGGGTCCCCTCTGCAGGCCGCCGCCGGGCCCTGGCGGTCTGGCAAACACTCCATAAGCTGTTGTTTAAAGAAGTGCCTTCTGGACACCTAAATCATCGGTTCTTGACAAGGCAAGAGCCTGAGATGGCTCCTCCCTACACTTGAGCACTAAGGAGCAGGCAAAAATACGCAAGCTCTGACCGAAGCATGGGGTGGTGTTAAGCTGTCAAGTAGCAGTGGCTCCCATCTATTATAAATTAACCTCATGGGACGATGGATTCTGACTTAACCCCAGCACTGAAACATGTTAAAACTTATCTCAAGAACCATTCTTTCCCTGAACAGCTACTAGACTACGATCACTTTTCAGCCATAATTCATTTTCTGGCAGCATTCTGCCTACTTGTATTTCATCTTAATTTTGTCACTGAAACAATTATAATATATTGCATGCTTCAGAATATAGAAGTTCCAAGTTAGTTGCAGTTATGCTGTTTCATGTCATAATAAAAATACTCTGATTTCTTATTACAGTTATTTTTGACATCTTACAGATAAAATTGAAGCTAAATTAAAACATTCTGAAATACAGCAAAATATTGTGGGTTTTATGTTTTCTTGGCTTTTTTCTCATTTTTTCCCCAAGATTGCCTGAAGCCTGGGAATGCTGGATTGCCAACAGGATATGGAAGATGGGGGGGAAAAAAAAAATGTTTCATCTACAGTGTCCACCAATCAGAAGTGAGGCAACTGGGATAACTACTTTAAGATTTAGATCATACACTTCCTTCAACTAAAAGAAAGAAAAGAAGGTAAGGAAAATTCTTACAAGATCAAAACTTGATTTTAGGTACTTCCAATCAAGATGTATTTCAGAAGATGGGGTCCAACTTGGGTGGAAAAAAAAGAAGTCAAACAGACAAAGAGCAGAAATGGTTAGGAAAGGTTGTATAGAAGATGGAAACTAGAGAGGCTAAGGGAGACTAGAGAGTAGTCTACATATAGGCTATTAAAAAGCTAAAAGCTTGAAGCTTTCGAGTGAGTTAATGGGTCTTCTGATTTATCAGAAAGTGAGGGAAGTAACTATTTTGTAAGATTTCTTTTGCATCAGCTGTTATCACAGAGGATTTTGAGAGGGCACCTATCCTGAATCCTTTCTTAAGTAATAAATATTGCCATAGATCAGAAGAGTTGGGGTATTAATACAAGATAATAGATAAAATGGTAGCAAGACACCAAATCCAGGGATTTGGCAGAAACTTCAGCTGAACTCCTAAGGAAATAAGTCAGCTCTGTTCAAAACCGGTTCCTGTGCTGGAGGTCTGGAAAGCAGTTAATCATTTTACCTATCCTATAATGTGGCAAAAGGGAAAATCACAGACCAATACTTCTGTATCAAGTCTACACCTCCAAGCATAAAACCATTGTAATTTAAGTCGGAAGCTATAAAAAAAGGTCTTCATAAAGAGAGCATCTAATATACAAGAATTTTCTACATATGTAAAAGAGAAATAGGAGTCAGTCAGTTTGATAAATTCAGAATTGCAAGGTACATCTTTATGAACTGTAATATTTGGACAGGTCAAGATAAAGCCATCGTAAGAAATGATTTTAGTTGATTCTCTTGCTGGCAGCTGTAGGCCTGAATTGTCAGACTGAACTAACTTGCCTTCCTTGGTATAATCCTTGGTCAAGGCTGAATCACATTGGCATAACCCTCCTCGTACCCAAGGAGCAATGTCACAGAGTACTCTTCACAACCTATTGCCTTTCAGGGGCACTGCTGCACCTCATATTTATTCAAGGCAAATTCAAGCTCCTAGCTGACTCTAGTGCTTCTGATTTTTTACAGCCTCAGCTGCAGCCTCAGTATAAAAAGTGTGAACATGGAATTTAATGCAGTTATTAAGGCAGTCCTTCCAAACTTTGTTTGAATTATTCTATATTCTACAGAAAACTGTCATGTAGCAGTAGGGAAAGTAAATATGGTAGCTGAAAACAGTTTAATGGATAGCCTCTCTTTGGCCAAAGGACTGATGTTCCTTGTTATGCTTTCTGAAAAGTAATTTACATTAGCAGATATTGGCTTCCAGTTTGTTTATATAGATACTGATTTGCAAGAATACATCTCCAACAAATTATGCTGGTTTTACTAGTCTCATCACTAATGAGTCTAAATGTCTGTTTTTTCTTCTTGCTGTTCTTTTTTCTTAGTCATTCTCATCTTTAATTATTTTGCACAATTATAAAATGAAGAAAAATTAGATCTGTATGATTCCAATATGCAGCCAGATTACCATAGCTACAATGAAAAAATGACTTATAATTAGACATTGCTTTAGTGTAGTGATTGTACCTTATTGCATAGAGAGACTCTTGAGTATATTGCTACATCTGATAAAGATTTGGACCAAAACAAGTAGCATAGTTTTTTTGTTTGTTTGTGTTTGATTTATTCAAAAGTAAGTCTTTATTTATACTTGTACAGGAAAAGTCATTTAGTCCTTTGTTCTGCATCCCTCAGTAGATCTGAACATATATGACTTATGAGTTCCCTTTTGAGGAATTGTAAGGCAGGCAATAACATGTGCTTTACTTGACGGCACCTTACATCAGGCCAGCCAAATATTCTCTTTCCTTTCTCTTGCCACCTTTTAAGGAGCTCACTCCACACTTTATGGTGTGCACTGATGTTCACCTTGAATCCTCAGTTGCCCTTTGAATGGCTGAGCCAGGACAGTTTGGGGACACGATCACAAACATATCCATACTGCATAGCAGGTCAGTCTGGTAAACTGAGAAGTGAGCTAGGGAGGGCAACAGCTCCTGCAAGGGTTTTTCCTATGACAAAAATCTCAGCTGAAGCTTCAAAAAGTTGAGACTTCGTTTTTGGCTCCAGGATGTGTTGAGACACGTCTTGGACTCTGACTGAGGGGTAGCCTATTTCTGTAGAAAACCAACAGCCTTTAGTTTGTGCCATGTGTGTAAGGAAATGGTTCACAAAGGCTGACAAATCATCCAGATTTGCAAACTGCAACAAATGATGAGTGTCAATATGTCACCAGAGGTAATAATTAAATAGATATATTTACAAAATTCTAAGTTCTGTCAAGTAAACAGAGAACAAAAGAAAAAGCACACAAACCGATCAATTTGAAGAACTTTATCCAAAAACACAATTTCCATCTGATGTTAACAAAACTTGTCATTTTCACCATAGCAAAAGAAAGAACCAGTATTAAGTACAGATATAGTGAAAACAGTCAGTAATTTGAAAAATTTAACAGGAGTTTAAAAGATTGCTCTGTTAACTAAACTGGCTAAATACAATAAACTCAGAGAAAACAGAAGGTATTATTTAAATTATTTTCCTTTCCACAGAGATCCACATTTCAAGAACAATTATTACAACAGTAAAGGATTTTTTTTTAATAAACCAATCCCTATACTATGAAAACAACACAGAAAAGCCCTGCAAACCTGTTATGTACAAGAGGGAATAGCAGAGAGAACAAGAAAATAAATTGTTGGAGAAAATCAGTTAAAATAACAGCATATATTAAAGGACTCCTGTAAGCCTCTGTTTTAAGCTGAAGGAAGATGTCATTTCCAAATGACTGCAATTATGAGTGAAGTACAGATATTTCCAGGAGTTGTCACTATTTAGCTTGCATTTTGGAAAAATAACATTTTAGGCAATACTTAAGACAACTTAAAACTCAAAGCAAGTATTACAAGCTACCTCAGAAAGCAAGCAAATAGATTTATTTACATTATTAAAAAAATTGGGATTTTGCAGCCCACCTTCCAAATTTGATAACTTCAGAACTGAGAGAACTTTATTAGAGAAAGAACCAAGATTTCTGAGGTTACATGCTGAGATGATAGAAAAAATAGTACAGCAATCTGTTACATTACATACCCTACCAGCATATCTATCAAAATATTCAGACTCCTTTTTATTACCTTCTATTTAAAAAAATAGAGTGTGTTGGTTTCTTTCCTCCCTTTGATTAGAAAAGCATAGATGTCCTTAGAAATATTTAAAATAAAACCCCATCAACCAGAGCTAGCTCTGCAATCTCATCTACCACAGCTGAACCTTAGCACTATAGGAGTGGATTTAATCCTGTTGAATCCAGGTGCAGACAAAAGTCCCTCTGGACTGAGCAGGTTGTGAGATGGGGAACTTCAAGCATCCTTGCAAAGGTCAGAACTCAGTAGAATTTTAGACCGACATCTGCAATAAATTAATTTTATTCCTCTGAAATGGGACTGAATTACACCAGAAGCGCAGCATAGTCTTATTGACTGCAGCTCCGAAAGCTCCTGTGATGAAGCCAGAATAAGCACAGATCTCTGCAGGAGGTTTTCTACTGCCTCTCAGTTCTGTCCCAGGCCTTCCTGTAATCTCCTTTTGTTCCAAATGAGATTTAGAAATGATCAAGTGCTACCGGCAGTAGCAGCCTGGCTGTGCAGCTGAGAACAGCAGGTAGAATGGATTTGAAATATCCATGGCTTAGCAAGCACCCTGAAAAAGGCCTTTTTATTTATTTATTTAAATAGAATGTTTTTTGACTGACCAGGCTGGGATCTTATGACCTTCACCCTAATATAGCCCATATGGAATGACCTCACTCTTTTGTATATGAAACTCCTTATACTACCCGCTTTGACTCCCGTTTTTTGCCTGCTCCAAGTATTTTACCACTAATCCTGTTTTGCCAAGACTAACAGAATAACAGGAGGTTGGGGGGGGAGGATAGAAAGACTAAGTGCTGGGTACGGATTAGTGCAGTTAAAATCAATAAATAAATAAATCTGAATTTCAGAATGGCAGCACTGGATTTTATGGCTATCGATAATACAGTCATTAAACGTAGTGGCCACAACTTACTCTTCTGCTTGAGGGAAACGCTTGCAGTTTGGCTAGGTAGCTGATGATTGAGATTTAGCTCCAGGAAGAGATGTTGTATTACTGATCTTTGTGTCGTATCGCAGTAAAGGTCAACAGAGGTTTTTAAGAAGGGCAGAATAACATTTTTGGCTTCCAATACTTGGAATACATGGTATGATGTCAGGGAATTAAAAGACCAGGGGAGAAATAAACTGGAGGCATAGAGACACATTTTGGTGGCAAAGGGATGTGGTCACGTCAGGGTACCTTGGGAGGAAAAAGGAATCATCCTTCCCAGCCTCAAGGATTGTGTATTGACTTTTGGGATGGGCTTAAGAAGTGTCTTGGTGCTGTTTTTCACCTTTTTTTTAAGTGTGGGTAATGATACAGCTCCCTCTGAGACCTGTACAGGAGAATAAGGTGATGCTATTGCACATGATTGTTATGCTGCTATTTGATGTCTTAATATTATATGCATAAAAAAAAAAAAAACCTTTGTAAGGGAGACTAGAGTTTTGGATGATCAGCCTTGCATATATTCCATTAAAAGTGGCAGATTTTTGAATCCTTTCTAAAGTTGAAAAAAAAAGTTTTCCAGAAGCCTCCACAGAAGAAAGAGCCTTCATAAGACTTCCCTGAAAGAAAATGTTGGTTGGGCTCAGGCAAAAGGGCATTTGCCTTAGTACCAAGAGACAGGAGCTACTTATACCACCTAGAAAAGCCTGGCTTTAAAGGATGGATTTGCAATACACTGAGATGCTTGGACGTGTGACAGGTTTGTATCACCACTTTGCTTCCTTTTCTTGGTCTGTTCCCAAAACAGGTCACTGAAAAAGTGGGATCTAGAAAGAAGTGTGAGAAGGACTGGAAAAAAGAAAAACAGGTAAAAGGTGCCAGTGTAATAACAGGATTTAGGGTTTTCCTTTTTCCCTTCCCACTAGCTTTTTGTACCATTTAGCCCAAGGATTGTTTTCAGTTCTGTTAATGACATGGCTCATGTGTCATATAAACTTGCAAACTTTGCTTTGGCTTCACTCTGGCCAGATGACATGGAGACTTTTTATTTATTTATTTATTTAATCTGTGCAGATCTACTGGATGGTCTTGGTGTAACCATCCTGGAACAGGCCAGAAGGGGATAAAATTGCCATACATTTTGTTCTGCAAAGACGTGTATTTCCTTGGGGATTTCTGGACACTTGGATTCTTCCCTTTTACTTTGTGCCTGAAGCACCACTAAGGAAACCGGCAGCTGGTTGGTCCCTGCCTGCTATGAATTCTTCACTTATCTGCAGAAGAGTTTAGTGGCACCTTCATTTTCTCTATCTGGAGCTGGTAACAGAGATAGTTAAGGCAAGGGAATGGATATAAGGAAACATGTACAGTCAGTGTCAGATCAAGTGCAGTGGGAGCTTTTATAGTGAAGAAAATGGGATGTTTGGATCTCTTTTGGATGTTCCTTAGGTAAGAGGCAAAGGGCCAACCACATGTTAAACTGTCCCTGTCTTTATCTTGTGATACTGACTGATAAAATACACCTAATAGAATATTGAGCTCTGCTAATGGAAGCAACACTTGTTTTTCTGAGGATTAGCAGGCTGTAAAACGAGGAAGGACATGCTGTACCTGATAGCTTGTTCACTTAAACTCAGCTCAGACTGTGTGCCCGGAAAGTCAGCAGGGCTCCCAAGGCCAAAATAAGATTTAATGAAGCGCTAAGCTCTGCTTGTCAGAATCCTGATGTCTGACATTATCATCAGAGACCTGGATGCCCTTCTTCTTTCTGAGAGTTAACCAGATGAAATCCCATTCTTCAGAGCTGTGAAAGCTTTAATGCACATAAGCTGACTCCACTAGGATTTTGATTTTTGGCCTGTTTCCTCTTAATAATAGAAATCATGCTTAAAAAGAATAATTTTCCACATTCTGCTCTGTGGTTAGCCACAGGAAACTCAGTAAAATTACATGATATAAAAGGGCAGAGCTACGTGAAATTAGTAAGTCTCAGCTGCCTGCAGAGAAATGTGAAAGGATATTAAGAACTGGAAAAGTAAAAGAAAGCTTCTAATAATAGACAAAATACATAACAACCTGTAGACTAAAGACTCCTAATTTGGCTTACTCCCGGCCACAAAGGAGGAATTTTCTTTCAACTGAAATGGATGTATGGGATCAGAGTATAATAGCTCGCTGGCTCTAATCTCTTTTGATTTGGGACTTGTTCTAACAGACAGCTCAGCTGTTTGATGGGATGCAGCAAGTTGGTGAGATGCTGACTGGCCTCCAGTCCCACTGAAAACAAGAGTTTTTGAGAGGGAGGGCTCATTATTTTTGAGGTAACTATCAGCTCATTTTCCCAGTTAAATGGCTAAGTATATTATTTATAGCAGATGCGTCTCTCTGATGCTGTTGTTTCATCAGTTTCTTTTTTTGTCGTTCTGTTTTGCAAATGTGTTGACATGGAAATATATCTTCATCTTATTTTAAGAGTGTATTTATGACGGTGATGAAGACAGATCCCCTAGGCTTGGAGATGCAGCACTGGCTCTGTGAGCTTCCCTGCCAGAGCTTCCCTCTGTGAGCTTCCCTGTCTAACCTGTCTTTGCAGATACCTCCAAAACCACAGATTCACAGAATATTTAAGGTTGGAAGGGACCTCTACAGATCATCTAGTCCAACCTTCCTGCTCAAGCAGGCACACCTAGAGCATGTGGCACAGGGTGGCATCCAGGCGGGTTTTGAAGACCTCCAGAGTAGGAGACTCCACAACCTCCCTGGGCAGCCTGTTCCACTGCTCTGTCACCCTAACAGTAAAGAAGTTGCTCCTCACCTGGAGACGGAACTTCTTGTGTTTCAGCTTGTGGCCATTACCCCTCGTCCTATCGCTGGCCACCAGTGAGAACAGCCTGTCCCCTTCCTCCCTGCATTCTCCCTTCCTGAACTTATACATATTAATCATATCCCCTCTGAGCCGTCTCTTCTCCAGAGAAAACAGGCCCAGCTCACTCAGCCTCTCTTCATACGAGAGATGTTCCATTCCCTGAACAGTCAGCTTCTTTGCTGTGATGGCCACGCAGCTGCCTGCTTTAGCACGTGGCTGCTTAAAGAGAAATCTTAAGATATAATTTGATTTCTTTTTAGTATGTTTTCAGAGACTCTTAAAGGCTACCACTAAGAAAGACACAGCAGGATGTCTTCCTGCTTCCCACAGCTCGTTAATAACGTTGCAGAGCACAGCTAGCATTGCTTGTGTTTTTAAGATGTTTGCAACTTATTAGGGGGGTCTAACACTGCACAAAATAATTGTTTTGTTTACTATAGAGCAAATTCAGCTCGGTATCATTTAAGAGTTATCTGTGTTAGGTGCTTTTATTTACAGACCTTGATCTGGAAGTGGAATCCTGCTCTCTCTGATGCACAAAAGGCTTAACCAAGTACAGAGGTCTCTTCTGCTTTTGCAGAACAGGTTGGGAGAAAAGCGGTGGGCAAAGTGCTTGGGCCTCCTCCTCAGCCCTGACAGAGGGAGTGACAGCAGTTCCCAACTGCCTGGTTCCAAAGGAAGGAATAACATGTACCTGCGTAAAGTAGTAGTAACACTTTCCCTATGCCTTTCACTTCCTTCTCCATTCCCCTCTGTTGTCTCTACAAGCTTTCTTAATGATGGGTGGGTGTCTTTCTTTTGCAGTGATTGGATTTAACCCTTCCCTTACCTCCCAAAAGACAGAAGTGTTCAGGGCATGCCAGATTGACACCTGAGAAGGCTGTATCGTAACTACACAGCCCAATGCCAAGTATGTTGCCAGCATCAAAGATGGATCCAAGTTTGAACCAGTTTGGCTACTGTAGTTCAGGGACATAGAATCTCATCTTTAATAGACCTGGCAATATGCTGCAGAGACTCTTGTGTACACTAATACACTTGCATTGTAAAAATATTAACAGGAAAACCTGCATAATTAGTGCCTTCAACTGTGAGACAGCAAATGCTTGTGCTTGCTGCCTGCACCCTGTTTTCCATTTCACCCTGTCAGACCAATTACTTTAATTCAACTTCCGTCTGGGCCTTCTTGACAATTCTACCTCTAATGATGCAAATATGTATGAGGATGATCTGGATGAGGGAAGCAGAACTTGTTGTTTTCCAGCAGTTCTGCGATTACTATCAATTTCCCATGAAAGTAGGGCACTTTCATTGGGAAAAGCAACACGAATGTGTCACTCTCATTTTCATTAGCAGGAGGGAGGTTCTTTGCTGTTCCCTCTCAAACAGTACTCTTCATGGGTGAAGAATCTGGTCCAGTGCTTTGGGAGAGAAATGCAAGCATTGTTAATTGCACTTAGATTAATATTCTGAGTAATTTACAGAAACCACTTCACTGGCAAATTCATTAAGCAGTAGAATAATCCCACTGGGTAATTACCATATTGTCAAACTGTTTTTAATCATGTCTTGTTCTTCTCCATGCAGAAACAGTGCTTGCAAGAGCTGCCATAATTAGACATGCTGTTGAAGAAGTGAAGAAAAGGGCATGAGTAAGTGGTACAGTTCCTAGGCAATGGAATATCTGAACGTTGTAGGGACAGTGCATAATATTCCCATTGTCTTACACACCAAACCATGTCCTACTCAGTTCTGCACTGGAAGCTGTCTGCCAGCGTCTCTCAAGATTGGGCACATCACAGCTTTTTTTTTTTTTTTTTTCTTTTTTTTTAATTGAGATGCTAAGGAGCGTAAGAAAAGGAGGTTTCACGTCTTAAACAGCTTCCATGCTCTTTAGTACCCTCTGTGTATGAAGAAAACTGATGTTTTAGGGTAGTGAAGGGTATCATTTTTCATGTTCTTAAGACTTCAGCTGCTTTACCAGACAAGATTTGCTTTCTGTTTTTCTCAAACTTCTTTTTTTTGCAGCCCTCTTTTGGTATCAGCCGCTTTCACAAAATAATGCCTCCAAACAGGGAAATAACCAGAAGCGTAAGAGCTCTATACCTCCAGCGAGCTGTCAGGATTTTCCTTATCCTGTGAATAACTTAACCTTCTCCCTCGTGCTAGCTCTGTCTGCATCCTGTTCCATGATCCCCATCCAGTGGAGGAGAGCACAATCACACAGGCTGATGCCCGGTGTGCGCCAAGGAAAGTGCAGGTGGAGGAGAGATCATAGAATCCCTAAGGTTGGAAGGGACCTTTAGAGATGATCTAGTCCAACCCTCTGCACATGCAGGGTCACCTAGAGCACGTGGCACAGGGCTCTGTCCAAGCGGGTTCGGCTGTATCCAAGATGCAGCCTTGGGAGAGCTCCCCTGCCCCTCCAGGGATCTCTTCAACTGCGTGGCAGCAAACTCCTACCACAGAACTGGGACAAATTTGAAGGCCAGCTCCCACAAAGGGCAAAAAACATCCACAGTAAATAAATATATATGTGACAATAAATACTGATTTAGGGCATGCTGCTTTAATTCAAGTAACTTCCTATCACCCCTCCAGGAAAATTGCTTTAAAGAGGAGGAAAAAAAAGGAAATCCATACTTTCCTATATCTTTGGCAGCTCTTAGTCCAGCCTTAAGTTCAATGGCAGGTGTGCATCAAAAATAGTTTCTGTGCCAACAGCCAAGGCATTCTGGAATGAGGATAGTAGCTGTATGAGAACAGAAACCTTTACAGTACATTTGGACTCAGAGAAAGGATTTATCTACTGCTCTCTCAGCTCAGAGACCTTATGTACTCTTGTTTGGTTTTTAAAGGGGAAGAGAGAGATTTCCATCATAGGCAACCTTCTTCCTTGAAGATTTTATAATCTCTAAAGCAAGAAAGGCTGGAGCCTGTTTTGAAAATACAATTCTAAAAAAAAGACAACTCTTATGGGAATAATACAATGAAAATATAGACCCAATTCCAAATGATTAAGTAGAATTATCTAAATTGGCTATATAAAGTACAGGAACCTCATGAGAACCTAGAGGCATATTCATATTTAAATATAAGCATTCACAAATCTGCCCATTATTATATATCCATTATATATATTGAATGCTATTTATACCTCAGCACATTCCTGATCTGTGCACTCACTTCCTCACTGAGGGTAAAAATGTCTAATCTGCCTTTCAATTGTACCTTTCTCATAGACGTCACTTGCAGTTAACTAGACTTCACCCTTTCCTCACATTGCTTTGGTTCACCAATATGTTTATGGACATATATGCTTTCTGTGGGAAATCTAGATTACAACATAATGAGCTGAACACATGGTATTTGGCCTTTATTTTCTGGAAGGGACACACCTAAGGACCACTGCTGTCACTGCAATCCCCTAGACAGAGCGGGGAGCTACTCTGTTTAACACTTCATCTTCTGGAGAGCAGCAAACCTTGTAACAGCTGTGCCCCTTCCTGGAAGCAGCAGACAGGGTTAGCATCAATTCATATCTAGTAATTGACTGCAGAAAGGATATTAGATTTAGATAGTAAAGATCTGCCTGCTAGAGCTTTCAGCTCACAGCTTTGAGCACAGCAAAGTGTACGCCTGTGCTCTAGATCCACATGATGAACTTGGCCTCCATCAGACCCGAGTCAGTGACTAACGTTACTCCATCTGAAAAATGGAGCTGTCCAGAAAAACATGATTTCATAGAACATTATACCTAGCAAGTGCACAGTTAAAAAAAAAAAACTGACAAAAGCCAGAAGAGCTGCTAGAAAAATCTAAACAGTAGAAAATAAGGACTGTCTGTATAAATCTCACTATTTTTTGCATTTATTGTAGCCACGCTGTCCTCTCTGTCATTATATTTCTATACAAAACACACATTGGCTGTGGTCGTGATTAAAGCTCTCACCTCCATACAATTTGCAATTGCAACCAAGTCTTTTTTTCTGCCATCAAGATTCAAGGTGATTAATTTGTATTTCATTTCCATGACTGGGGTAGCACTTAATTAACAAAGTCCCTACCTATATGTATTTATAGAGATATACATGTATATATACACACATACATACATACACAGGACAAATACTGCTGCAGTTATTTTCGCCTCCCATGGTTAGAGTGTCAGTCATCCTAGAAGGTGAAGGCATACACCACTCCCACAACCACAATATTTCCAATTGTTGCAATTATTGCAATCCATAGTAATATGGCATCGTTTGAAGAACGGGATGTCTCTTCTGGCGGATTCTGCATGGAAGAAGCTGCATGGACATTGGCTGATGAGTTAAACAAGGAGTACTCTGTGCTAAAGTCCTCGTTGGGTGAGTCCATAAAGGCTCCTCCCATAACAGGAAGCTGTGAAGAAACACATGGCAAAATTAGATTAAAGGCTCATGTCTCTATTTGCTTTGTCTTGAAGTCATTACAAGAAAGATGCCAGTAGACAACCTACAAAATTATTATTTCATGTATGTGGTGCTAAGCTGTGAGGAACCTCACATATATGCATGTATTTTACTTTATAGCTTCTGTAACTTCCGTGGACATTCTGTATTCAGATGTCTCTTTTTCTGTTAGAATTCATTTTACTGCACAAAACAATAATGCTGCATGTAATATACACTGTGTTAGAAGACTCTAAATCAACCTAAATAATATATAGATTTAAAAAGAATTCTCCATAAGGCATTCCTATAGAAAAAGATAGACTTAAAGCACTGCATCTGTTTTACAACTAATGATCACCAGCGATGGGATCACACTGCACTGAGGAGTGGAGCAGGCAGAATGAGGAGGAACTCATGCAGGGAGTTCATTCCCCTGACATGTATGGCTCAAAAGCAAACCCTTGGTTTACACAGAGATTCTTGCAGAAGTTGTTATTGTAAAAGAGGTGGAGTGTGTGCAGTGCTCTAATTTCATTTGCAAAACACCCCACTGTAAAGATGCAGGGTTCAAAAGCCTATACAGCAAGAAGCTTCAGGTTGGATTAGGAAAGGCAAGACCCTCAACAAGGCATGTTCCACAGCAGGAGTCAGGCTTCTAACAGCTTTCCCACCTCACTCTGCTCCTTTTGGGAAGTATAAAACACCAGATGTTTTCAGCAGGATGGCAGTAATTCAGCATAAGAATATGGAAACAAAGTAAAAAGGAATCGTTTACACTTGTCCTGACACAAGTTTCAGTTGTCTTCCCAACCTTAGGTCAGACCCCAGTGCAAATGCTTCTTGATAGAACAACTGCTTTATCCTACAGATGGATTTCTTGTTTGAGCAGAAAAAGGTTATGTATTGCAGAGCTAGAACTATCTATCACTTTTAATAAAAGGCTCCCATGAAAGTGTTTTGCTTTCATCTTGGTTCCTTGCACTTTTAGGAATGCAAGTCTGGGAGCATCTGCCCTGCTTCACTGAGTCCAGACTCTGCAATCACTTACAGCTCAAGGATCCAGTGTTGAAATGACCTGCAAAACATCTGCTTCACTTATCTGTAGATGCCAAGCACATATACATCTATAAAAAGTCTAAAATCTGATGAGCAACCTCAGAATCCACAACTGTCACGTACTGCAAGAAAAGCAGGAACCACGAGGATCTCCTAAAGCCCCAAGTCTCTGCAGAGTCAGTAACTAAAATCCAAGAGCATTGCAGCAGATTGACCAGACCAGTATCAGAACCAGGGTACAAACAGTTACGTGTCCAAACACCCCTGCCAGGCTCACCTGAGTGTAAAAGCTCCATAAGGACTTGGCTGGTTTGAGCTGGAGCATGGACTAAAATGACCATCATCCTCTTTTCCAGTAATGAATGAGAGTGCTTCCATACTTTTGGTTGTAACATAAGCAGTTCTGTCCTGCCTGTATCCAACAGGAGGCCCTAGCAAAAGTCACCTCCCATCGTGTCACCTGTCTCTGTGTCACACACTGGGTAGGTCCCCTTTCCTTTTCATAGGCATCTAAACTCTAACCCTACCTTCACATTCATGATCCATTCTCACCCTTGTCATCTGCCCATCATGTCACAGTGTCACCTCCCCCCTCCATACAGTTTATATAAACTAAACACATTCCCTTATCCACCTGCAAAATTTCAAACAAGTGCTTTTTGCCTTATCCCACATTTCCCACACATCTGCAAAACTCAAAAATTGCAATCAAAAAACCATCATCATCTTTGATAGCTTCCTGGATAATCTATTCTGTTGTTCTCCTAAAAAAACAGCTTGCTGCAACACCAGCCAATCTCCCCTACTCTCCATGGTTTCCAAGCTGCTGCTTTCATCTTCCAACTTGTAGACCACATTATAGACTTGTTGCTTGCAAACAATTCTGGATTTGGATATAATTATTCTTTCTAGAACACCTTTCGCAGCAAGGCTTTCATTTGCAGCTGTGTGACTGACCAAAACCAATGGAAGAAGGATCAGAGGAGATGGGCAAGGTGCCCATGAAGCTCAGCAATAGCATAAGATGCAACTCGAGCATCAGAGCCGATGCCCAGAGAACTGACTTTATCTCAACACAGAGATCTAGCACCTCTGTGCTAGAGAAGCAAGGGCAGCTCTTGAGTGGATCTGCTGGTATAAACATTTCTTCCTGGTTCATCAAAAGAATGTGAATGTCTCCCTGAGATCAGTCAGGCCAGCACAAGGGGAGCATGTATGTGCCTCAGCCCAACACAGAGTACAAAACTTGAATAACTAACAAAGACATTTCAAAGGGACCAACAGGCTTGAGCTGGCTTAATCTCTACATATATACATATATATACATATATATATATACACACTCCTTCCTGGTGCCAATTTGGGAGCCCCAGCATCCTGACAGTGACCACATTATAAAGGCCAGTAGTGGCAATCACACTGGTATTGTGATTGAACTGTGTAAGTGCACCCTTGTGATTGCAGAATATTGCTAAATCAAAAAAAATCACATGTAACATCAAGTATCTTCAAAGTCAACCTTTATATTAAACACTGCACTCTCCATTTATGTGGAAGACCTAAAAGAAGCTGGTTGGAGAGCACCGGGCTCTCACAAGCTGAACCCATCAGGCTAAATAGAAGCCCTTAGTACTAGCAGGGTACTCGCACTAGCCCTGTTATTACTACTAGCAGCATCACAAAACTGCTGGAGTTACCACAGGCTATGAATAAAAGAGGAACCAACCTTGCCTTCCTGTGGCCAAATCAGACAGTTGCCTTCAAGATTAAATGCCACTGGCAATAAACAACCATGCCCCGTACCTATTCAGATGCGAAAATCACTCTCTCTCCAGATCTTGTCCTTCAGTTCCCACATCTCCCCTTGATTCTGTCAGCAACCCTTCCCTTTGGTGCTGCACCCCCTCCTGGTGGTGGGACCTGCACTATGAAGGCAGCTGAGAGGACAGGCCCAGAGGATAAAGCAAGTGAACCACGGTGCTGGCTGCAACCTACAACGGACTGAGACACCCACGAGCACCCTAAGGATCAAGTGGCTTTTATTTGATTGCTATTCATAACATTTTAGAGCGCTGTAAATGACAGTCTCTCAAAGCTGCCCGCTAAACAGATTTAATTTGAACTAGAAAATATCACGTCACATTCAAAAGGAAAAAGCGAATGATGAAGTACCACCATGGCTCTACTGTATTACCTAATCCACATGAAATAAAATTATACTTGAGATCAAACAGGATTAAACAAACACAGCTTGCAAGAAACCAAACAGGAAATTACAAAAGTCAACTTTGATACATTCCCTCTACATCATTTTTTGCTTCCAGCTTCAGCATCAAGTGTTTTAAAGAAAACAAACGTATCCATTTCGCAACAAGCCCTGCTTGATGATGTCTGGAATCCAATTCCACCAATCTTTTTAATGGCTTGGGATTGTGCAAGAAAAACACTGGTCAGCTGAATCAGAATTGCTTTTTTATTTAGGAAGTGCCAAGACAGACAAATGGGATTTCAAACACGTGACAAGTGGATTCATGCAGCAGCATTCTCATTTAACAGCTATAGAAACACTGGAGATCTTTGTGGCAAACAAACACCAGCAACAAAATGCTCCATCTGAGGTGCTTGGCTCTTTAGCAAACCATTTTAGGGGAACCAGCCCTTAGGTGTAGACCAGTTGCGTCCTTAACTGGAACCACCACCACAGAGGCAATCAAAACGTGAATGTTCTCAACACATGCAGGGGTCCACGTATACACAGTAAGAAGGAGGTATGTGTATGTGCCCAAGATGGTGAGAGGCCATGAGAACTGTTCTGATGAGCGATGTCTGGTTTGTGGGTCATCAATTCTGCACCCTCAGTGAGTTATTTGTGCTGACAAGCTCCCACACTGCTAGTCCACATGGTGCTGTCACAGAGGCAGGCAGCATCCATAAAGCAGCACAGCTACGCACGCACTGCAAACCATGTCAGGTCTGAATCTTAAACAGGATAAGGCTCAAAACGGCTGTTTTCTCCATCTGAGAGGAACACATGGTGAAACAGCTCATCTGACTCTCTGAGAGGCTTGCAGTGACCTGTGATAAAGCACTGACATTCAGCACCTGGCACAGGCTCCTTCTCTAAAACTGACTTCCAGTTTTCTATTTGTAGGTCAGTAGCACTTCACTGCAGATCTGGAAACAAACCCTGCTGCCAATTTCCAGTTTGCAGCAATTTGCTCTTACTAAATGTGCATTCTCCCTTTTCATTACTAAAACAGCCTCACATAAGAGTGCAGGAACGGCCATATGGGGTCTGACACAAAGCCCATCTCCTCTGAAGGTGGCCAAAATTGAGGCTTAAGAAAGGGTAAAAACAGAAACAGGAAAGCATGTCTGGTGCTACTCCTTAATATCTCAAGGCCTGCAACTGTTTTCAGCTTGGCAGCTTCATAATCCAGATGCTGTTCCCATGGATTCAGTTAACTTGCAAAGAATTTCACTGCCACAAACTTGTCCAGCCTCTGCCTGAGCTCGTGTGGAGCTGAACATCCTTCTTAATCCGGCCTCTTGCTGCCATTTAGCAGTCAGGGTTTCCCAGTGACACAAATCATCCTTGGGAAATGCTCTTCCCTTTAGTATCAACTAACCATCTATCTTTTTGGTAGATCGACTTTGGTGAGATGAATCTCATCCTTAGTCTTGATGTCTTCATTCTCCCAGAAGCTCTATTGCTGCACCCTTCCTCCACAATCCTGTGTGAGCTAATCCATCAAGGGCAGCAAGACACCAAGTCCCTGCTAATGGAGCGCGAGGTGTCTGTGATGAGCAGCAGGCTAAGGATGGGGAGCACACAGCGCTTCCTGGGCTTTCTGTTTGCCCACGTACCAATTTACATCAGCCAAAACCACCACCCCTGTCACTGACAAC